GGTACGACACGCATGACCTCCGGACCTCTACTATCAATTCGAATGTTAGAACCAACGGCATCAGTCACATCAATGCTTTCTGTGCCCTTTAGCTCCCAATTTCTGGCTTTAAAGGCAAAAGGTTTTGAGGTAAGGGCTCCAACCGGACAAATATCAATCACATTCCCTGAAAGTTCACTTGTCATAAGTTTTTCAACATAAGTTCCAATTTCTTCTCCACTGCCACGACCTAACATTCCAAGGTCCTCTGTTCCAGCTACTTCTGTTGCGAACCTGACACACCTATTACACAAACAGCAAAAAATCAAGGATACTGTGCAAGAGATATAAAATGCACAAGCAAGTCTTTACTATTCCTCCTGTATCTAAAGCTTAAACCCACTAAATATTTGTTTTACTCAATCTCTCATGACGCCCCAAGGTTTTTTAAAGCTGTACCACCAAAGAGGAGGACAAATTTAGCAGTTATCAGCGGGAAGGAATAACTTAAAAGGGGCATAAGCACATTGGAGAAATGAAGAAACCAGTTTAAATTCTGTTGTAGGACAGTATATATTGCAAAATATGAATGTGACATTCCACGAATTACCCAGATTAGGAGAAAAATAAAAAAGACAGACTGGCAGTTTATGCTAGGCTACTGGCACTATACAAAAGTTTCTATATTCTTTTGAGAAATACTGGCAGTCTGGCACTATGCAAAAGTTCCTACAGGCTATAACACATCAATGTTCACTAGAATTACCATATCCATCTTAGTAGGCTACCTCCTCTTCATTACTTTTCATTTTTCGGGGAAGATATTAGCCTACCTCTCCTTCCAACCTTTCTTAATTAGAAATCACATATATAAGGGAGAACTTGCTAGTTTTTTCATGATTTTTGGGAACCATAAATAAAATACAATATTGACGGTTAGTTGTGTTGCATCAACAAGATATGTGTACGATTCAGGATGCGGGTGAACTTAACATCCAACATACATCTGTACCCTTTTTTTAAAATCTATTTTAAAACATGCACAAAGTACCTATACTCAAGTCACACCCGCTAGACCCAGGTACATCATGGCACACGAAGGATTCCATGTACCATAGACGGTTGGCATCTCACAAGTTACAAAATAGTTATTTTCCTGAAAGGAAAAAGTGGACACTTTTCATAGTCCGACCACATGGATAGACAGTTGGCATCTCACAAGTTACAAAATAGTTAATTTTTTTTAAAGGAAAAAGTTGACACTTCTCATAGTCCGACCACAGTGCCAGTCGAATCCACTTGCAACAATAGGTATCAAGTTTTGGTCCCATATGTCAAAGTTGATTTTAAACTTCACTTCCACAAAATAAATTGAACCACTCACATTTTATGTATGACAAATAACATTAGTAAAGGTAAGAATCACACAGACCTCGTACACTGGATGCACCGGGTCATCACAGTCTTTACCAATGGGCCCAAATTCTTGTCAACCACAGACCTCTTCATTTCAGTGAAACGCCCGCGGTCAGAGCCAAAGGCCATAGACTGATCCTGGAGATCACATTCTCCTCCCTGATCACAAATTGGACAATCCAGTGGATGATTCATAAGCAAAAACTCCATGACTCCTTCACGAGCCTTTTTGGCAATAGGTGTATCTGTCTTGATCTTCATTCCTGTAAGAGTAATCTCCAGATAAATTTGCAACAAGGAAAAGATGGAAAAGGAAACAATAATATGCCAATAATAGCTCAACACTAACTATGAATAGATCAGCCTTCGTGAAAATCATCAAAATGACTAGCAAAAACGGAGCAAAACCAAATGCACAACAGGTGAAGATGTTACTAAGCTAAAGAAAACCTTACCAACAGAAAAATATTAAAAAGTACCAGCTTTCCGTAGTTCTTCAAAGGGGAAAACTGAAGAAAATAAAGGGCCACAGAAACTTTGTTTTAACCAAAACTTAATTAATATTTCTAAATTACTGATCCAATGCATGTAATATTATCACTCAGAGCATACAGGCTCAAATGAACATATCATTAACCCATGATATATGATTTTGTTAGCTACAATTATAAGCTAAAAACACTCTATCTTTGTCATTTCTTTTTACTGGGATCAAAAGACGGTCTCTTTCAGTTGACCCTTGGTACAACTATATAATTGGACATATGGTGACCTACAGTTCATGAGTTTGATGCATATAAACAGCCTTTGGAGAACTACAATGGGAAGATTGCATAGGCACTTAATTAAGAGCACTATTTTTATTTTTATTTTCTTTCTAAAAAAAATTAATCCAATATCACCACTCAAAGAAAACACTCTCAAATGAACATTTGATCACCATTATCAACCCATATTGTCTGCTTTACTTAAGCACAAGTTATTAAGCTGGAAAGCTCTCTATTCACTTTTTTTCCTTATTGTTTTGCATGTCCAAATAGAACTGAATGGATATTGTGAATTGGCATAGCTGACCCAACAAATAAACGTATTACGTAAAAAGGCCTTTTTGAGAGCTTAAACAAACAATTATCAAAATGTGAATAGAAATCCAAAAGGGATGAATTATATACATTCACATAGTAAAGATTTGTTCACACTATTGGTGAATTTTAACATGTGATAGCAGATTAGTTACTATTTTTACCAGATTACCAATTACTCCCTCTGTCCCAATTTATGTGATACACTTTCTTTTTAATCTGTTTTTTGTGAAACAATCTCACTTTATAATGCTCATTTACAATCAGACAAGCGTCTCTGGCTTGTTTTAGATCACAACTTCAAAAGGCTTTCTTTTTTCTTGAGGTGTGTCCAGTCAAACACCATCACATAAAATGGGATGGAGGGAGTATTAAAAAAACGTTGTTTAGAGCCTAAACAAGAATTTGAAGCATCAAATGGGGCATCAAAATCCAAATACAGATCAATAAACTAATCAGTATTACCTGGAAGTGCAGGCATGGCACAAGAAGCAACAGGCTTAGGAGATTTCTCAACCTCAACAAGACACATCCGGCAATTCCCAGCAATACTTAGCCTGCTATGGTAACAAAACCTAGGGATATCAACTCCAGCAATTTCACAAGCTTGAAGTACAGTCATGCCCTTAGGGATTTTGACCGGGTACCCATCCACAAAGACCTCGATGACGTCATCCGGGTTAGGGAAATGAACTCGGGCCCCACCAACCGGGCTCCGATCTGACGGTACGGGTGCTGGTGCCGTTGCGGCGGCGGCATCGGCGTTGTTGAGTTCCGGTGTGGAGACGATGGTGCGGAGTACGGAATTGGTCGGGTTACGGAAGATTCTAGAAGATCGTAGGGCTCGAGAAGCGAGTAACCCTAATCCCATTGTGAGAGATAGATATCTTCTTCAGTTGTGTTGTGAAATGGAAATGAAGAGAGTATTTGGAGTGTGGAGAGCAGATGTGCTACGTTTGGTTTCAACGGAGCAGGGAAATTTGTGGGAATGGAGTTCGGGTCGGTTCTCAAGAGCATTGGGCTTCTGCATTTTGGGCTTTGAGTAAAGTGGCCCATTAATAGATGGGCTTAAGAGTGAACAGTAGAGGAAAGTGCACAGTTAGCCACTAATTAGAGATGTCTTTACTTTTTAGCCACTGTTTAAAATATATTTACTTTTTAGCCAGTGCTTAATAATTTTTTATCCGCCCGAACAAAAATACCCCTATGCTAGACATGGGTAATGTGTAAATATTAAGGACATGGTGTCCTTAACTTCATGAATGCTGTGTAAATATTAAGGACAAAGTGTCATGTATTTGCACCTTCCGTTGTTAAACTTTAGGACATCACGTCATTAACTTTATATGTGCAGTGTAAATATTAAGGACATAATGTCCTTAACTTGTATTTGCACCTTCTGTTGTTAAACTTTAGGACCTCATATCCTTAACTTCATATGTGCAGTGTAAATATTAAGGACATGGTGTCCTTAACTTCATATGTGTAGTGTAAATGTTAAGGACATGGTGTCCTTAACTTCATGTGTTTAGTGTAAATGTTAATGACATAGTGTCCTTAACTTTATGAGTGTTGTGTAAATATCAAGGACAAAGTGTCCTGTATTTGCATCTTCCGTTGTTAAACTTTAGAATATCATGTCCTTAACTTCATATGTGCAGTGTAAATGTTAAGGACATGGCGTCCTTAACTTCATGTGTGCAGTGTAAATGTTAAGGACACCATGTCCTTAATATTTACACAGCACTCATGAAAAAAGGGTAACGTCTTTTCGTATTAATTTTAATAGAATAGTGGTTATTTTTGCTCAGCATTAAAAATACTGGATAAAAAGTAAATACCATGTTAAAAAGTGGCTATTCCATGCCATTTCTACGTACAGTAGAGTGGATGGGCCTTTTAGTTTTCTCCTTCGGAAAGTGCACAGATAGCCGTTTCCAGGACCCCTATTTAAGACATAACCAAAATTTATAATTTTTTGTTTGTTTAGTCATATTTCAGAATTAATTTCGCGTTAGAAGTTACAAATTTTATTTGAAGTTTGGTCTGCAGTAAATTGTCTAAAGTTTGGTCTGCACAGTCCCAAACTTAATCATCGTGACATCTTGGGAAAGTACACACCGTTTCTAGGACCCCTATTTAAGACATAACCGAAATTTCTAAATTTTTATAAGTTTAGTCATATTTCAGAATTAACTTTACGTCAGAAGTTACAAAATTTGTTTGAAGTTTGATCTGCAGTAAATTGTCTAAAGTTTTTGGCCTGCCAGTCCCAAACTTAATCCTCATGAGATCTGGAGTAGCTCCTTTCCCAGGTGTCAAGCAGCTTAAAATGTTTCAAAGGTAAAGAATTTTATATAAATAGGGGAGAGGATAATAAACTCGTTAGTTTTTACCCAATTCAATACCATTTTAGTTAGTTTTCTAAAAATTCATAAAGAGACATTATTTAGCTATGTCGTGCGAACCGAGAAGTATACGAATTATACTAAGTTTCCTTTTACCTTCCGGATATATATAGGTGCATCCACTTCTTTTCTAATCTGCTTACATAATTGGAATTGGTATCTCTGGCTAATATAACACAGCATATCTTCAAAAGTTTCTTTAGTTCTTGCATTGAAACTGGAAGGTTTCTTTGCTTTTATCCATTGCCAATTAAATCTTAAGATAATCAAGGGTGTGCTACATTTTCCCGAAAATATAACATATTTCAAGAAACTGAAACACTATTCAACACTTTCTAAAATTTAGAAACTATTTCCAATGGGCTATCAAAGAAAAACATAAGCGAAGAAAGTCATTTTCACCTTTTAATGGAAAGGACTTTTCAAAGAAACTAATTTTCAGTATTTGGTTGCTAGCAAAATGACTTATTTTCCAGAAAACATTCTGTTTTCCTTCATACCAAACACACCCTAAGATCCACAAAAATGTATCCATATCAAGCTGTGGATCAGACCCACCCCCTGCACCCACGAAATTATCCTTCGAAAACTGGGGAAATCAGTATAATGTTTTCTCAGAACTTGTAAAATACTGTTCCAAGCTGCTTTAATCCACGAATATGCGAAAGAGAGAGGATGTAATTTGACATGTTAGAAACTTTAAATATCTTATGGCTGCAGCTTACACTTCAATATTGCCCACAATTTTTCGGGCTGGAGGGATTAGGGAGCATACAATTGCAGAGCATTTTTCACCTTGCGTTTTAAGCAGTATGACAGCTAAGAGTTACATTTTGGGAGGCTGTGCTTTACAAGCAATCAGAATGCTATTTCAACAAAAATATGTTTTCTACACTAATCTCGTTTCAAGGCCTTTGTTATGAAGGCTTTTGCCATGGCTGTTATAATGTATGACAAAACTGTAACAGTAATACCTAGCAGCAGAACCCAAGTGTCAAATCTAGTGTCCTGTACTGTGTAGACACGAAGCTTTATTGTTTCCCAGTTACTCTCTGTCCAAACAGGGTCAGCTTCCCCCATGGTATCGGAGGAATTATGAGGTAACACTCCCCAAGTGTCAGATTCGTACTTCAATCGAGTTGAGTATGCTGGGACATACCTGGAATTACATTTGATACATCATACATGAGTTCAGAGCAAGAGCATGTATAGCACTAAACTGTCAAGCAACAGGAATTGGTGTAGATTACATTATGAAGACAGCCTAATCAGCCCAAAAATCCAGTTACTGACCATCAAAAACATACACAGGCAGAAAGTCCACATGCTTTTCTCTCTTTTTTTTGAAATATTCCAGAGTCACAATTTGCAGTGCGTCATTGCTTAAAGCAATGAAGCAATGGCTTCTACTAACATGTAAGGTTGAATGAGCTTAATTTCAGTAAATTAAAATTGTGCAACTACCTGGTTGTAGAAATGACACAGACACCCTTCCCATCTGTCTCTGCTTTGACACACACTTCCCCCGTGCCGCTGCAGCCCTTTGGACAAGCAGAGCTCATATTCTTTGAAGGGATAGCTGTTTTATCTGCCAGAAAATTCCACACAAACCGAGGAACATCCCCCACATTACCAGGATATGGCTGAGAGGAAGGTTCCCCCAGGACGACTCCCACATAATGGCTTGGGCAACTTGCAGAGGGAGCGATGTAGCGATTTACCAGTTCACATGATAATCCGGGTTCACAACTCAACAAGCAGCCGAGGAGTTCTTCAACCAAGGAGGCATTTATGTTGATGGTATTCAAAGCTGAAGTTTTTATTTCCTTCTTATCACTGGCGAGAATGTACAGACTTCGGGCAACAACAGAAGCAGCGGCCACTATGGCTGAGGAGTTTATATTCACTGCTAACATGGAAAATAATATTTTAAATTAGAAAACATTATGTGATACAACACTATGAATTAATCCGGGCAAAGGCAAGGAATCCAAAGAGTGAAATAGCAACTCACGTAGATCATCCAAGTGGCTGTGGTAGAATTTATTAGTGAAGGCAGTATCAAAGTCTTCAAGGACTACCCCAGAAGTCTTTGGATTCTGTTTAAGAAGAAACAATAAATAGGCTCCCACATAGCTAGATAACACAAACTGGTAAAAAAAAAAAAATTATTTTTTATAAGGACAAACAAAGTTTCTCATTTAATTAATACATCTTTTTCCTCTAATTGATTTTCAATTCCATCATCATGGACATTCCTGCAATCCTCCATCAAAGACCTGGTCAATAATTTGCATATCTTTGTTGCTCTTCTAAAGTTCATCATCCAAACTTCTGCTCATACTCAAGTAACTCTATTCTAAAGCAATAAAGAAAGCACAGACACCATTCAGATATTGCAGCAGGATGTTACCAATTCCATTATTCCCTTCAGCCATTTTCCTCCACCATCCTATTCCTCCCCCCCGGTGCCCCACCCTTTCACGAGGACAACCACCACCACCATATCAGAGTCTAAAGACAAAAAAGCAAAACGACCATTGGAGCACAGATCATCGCATTGCATAAAATAAACCGCCAAAAAAATAATAAGATGCAAATCGTAAATACACGATGTTGAGAAAGAGAACTTTACCAGGAAAACCATAGGCTGCTCTCTCTAAACAAGCTATACCCAAGCCTAATTTAGCATAAAAGCCTATTGTGTAAGCAGAAGGGGAAGGCTCAAAAAGTGGCCAAGATCATAAGCCGCTAACACTTTGAAGAAGCCATCTATATGTACTACAATATAATACAGGGTATGAACGAACTTCGCACAAAGTACTAGTGGCAACCAAACAGACAATGCAGGACTCCTTTTCTTTTTTTGAACAGTTACCTGTAAGAGGTGCAGAAACTAATTTGTACACTCTTTCTATCTCTCCTACCTTCATATTATTCACCATATGTAGTTTCCTTTTAGAAGGAGAAAGTGCACAGGGTAGATCAAAATAAAGATCACGGAAGGCACAAAGAAAATATAAAAATACATTTATAAACAAAAATATTGGGGCATTTTCACCAACCTTCTTCAGAAATGACATCAGCGAGGAAGGGGGTAACCCTGGGTTTGATTTACTTGCCCTTGAGACCTTAATGCTTTGATTATTGAGCGAACCTAAAGCATCCTGGATGGCACTTAACATTCCATTTGTGGCAGTCTCCTGCAAAAGTGAATCACGTGCAGTGTGTGAATTATTAGTCATCCTAATTGAAAAACCAAGTTTTTGAATATTAAGCAAAAAGATAGAGAAGCTGGCTAAATAAGAAAGCAACATATCTGTGGTGAGGATAGATATAAATCATTTTGAAGTTCTTACGATAATCTTGAGAAAAACTTCAATATAGCAGTGTGTTAATATTTTCAGTATTTAATTCTCTTAAAGCATACAGATTGATGACTGATAACACACCAGACTGCAATTAACCGCCTTCCACAGCTTAAACAAAACACCAAGATGAGAAAGAGGAAATCAGAATGTAACTAAACAGTTACACAATTTTTTTGATAAACCTAAACGA